CAAGTAGGTTATCATGACCTATAGGAAGGGTTGGCTATCAATCATCAATCACCTTTCCCAAGGCAGCTAGAATAGCAAGGAAGACAGTTCAGTAACCAATAGTAAAAGTGTACAAAGTACAAAGCATTGAAATCTTAAACCCTCGGGGGATAATGGACGAAAGTGCCCTTGTGTATGCACAACCACAATCAGGAAACATTAAAAGACCCCTACAGAAGGAAGAGATACATTTATTGTTCATCAAGGTCAGAAAGGCGAACATTAAATTCCTAAATATCTAAGCATTAAATGCAAAAGCTTTTACCATGTGAAAAGGGAGGCACTATGCTCAAGGATTGTGCACCACGTGATGCCCTCCAAGTGAGCCAACGAGGAGTCTTCCTTCCAAAGGACCCAATTGTCCATAATGATTAGCCCCTAAGAGGTATAAATAACACTCTCAAAGTCAATTCTAAGGCACGCGAAACCTCACCCAAGTAATATAATAGTGCTTTTCCAACTCTTTCTCATATACTAACTCGATCATCGAAGGGTTCACGCCGAAAAATACTCTAGCGCCTTTCTAACCCATCTTTTTGAGTAACAGAATCTAGTTCGATAACTAATGAGTGAATAGATCATTTGAAGAGAGTTTCATCACCATTCATTACGACATCTCGACATCCATTTGCTACGGAACTTTTAACTTTCTAGGCAAACACGAGCTCAATAAGGGAGATATATGTTATTTTGTTTATTGTGTCAGAATCATCATGCACAGGTTTCTCTTTAGTAAATTTTCATTTTTGTTGAGTTCTGTAGTATTTTTTTTCTTTCACTTTGTCTTTTTGTGTTCAAATATTAGGTACAGGTAATTTGAAGACTTGTGAAGTCACAATCGTCCTTTTGTATTTGGCAATTGTTGGTTGTATGGGCAATTGCTTTCCAATTATGAGCAATTGCTTTATATTATTGAAGGAATTTTCTTTTTTAAATTTAGTTGATATATTTTTTTGATTTCTCGGTTTGGTAAACTTGGGATGTTACTGATATGTATGTAATCATGCCCATACTTAGAAATTGAATTTGAGATTTTTTTGTTCTAAACTTGATTATGTAGATATGTTGAATAGATGGTTTTTTGTTTTGCTATTGATGCTTTCAATGAGTTTGCTTTCAAACCATTTTACAACATTGGATGGTTTGAGTAAATCTATTCATTAAGTACAAAATTTGAGTTTATGAAGATCGTTTGTATCTTATGGTTTGTATTTTGTCCCTTACTTGGTAATTGGTAGAATATCACTTTTCATAAACCAACTAGAGCTCATAGTTTTTTAATTGGCAATTTTTTTGTATGTATTGCCTTTAGGCACGGGTATTATATATATAAATACTAGTAATTACTTGGAGGCACTACGTTACTCGTCAAAAATTGTAAACATTTTCATATAAATAAAGGCAAGGTATAATACAATTTCAATAATACAATGATCAAATTGATATTGTTCAACATGTATGCAGAACATATATAATCAAACTTTTATATAACGAAAGTCATGCTACAACTACTGCAACATATTAATTTAAAAATTTGTGAAAATATAATAATTATTGATCAAACATCCACAATTTTAACATTTTTAATAAACTTTATCTCAAATTTCAAAAAAATATAATTATTTGTTTTTCTGTTGGTTTCTACCTATAGTTCATAATATTATCTCTACACCATTTTTTCAATGTGAGTTCGTATAACTTTTGTGAGGAAAACATCAAAAAATTTCACATGAATTCTCGTAAATGTAAAAAATTTTGTTGCGAATTAAAATCAGCTCCATTTGAGTTCAACTTAAATATTCGTAAAATTCAATCAAATTTAAGTTTGAGTGGGGCTACTTTCACCATATAAATCTCCATTCCCACCCCATTTAATTTCTCATTATCAAACTACTAAACCCACCTCATTAGTAACTAAGTCCACCCTATAATATATACACCCCTTATATTTTGTCATAATTAGGATTTCATTATCTATTTCATTTCATGCACTCACAAAAATACTTTTTTAATATGAATTTTCTAGTGAGATACATGTTAGTATTACTTCTCAATTTAATTCTATATTTGATTTCCTGTTTGTTGCATTAATTTTTATTATTTTTGGTATGTTTTGATATCTCTGTCAAGTTTAATAATTTTTTATTTAGAATTTATATATATATACATATATGTATATTTTCAGATTATTTGATGTTTTTTTTTATCTTATTTAAGTTTTGCATCTATACTTGTTATTTTTTTTTCTTGTTCAATTTTTTATTTGTGCTTGATACTTTTTTTTTCATGTCCAGTTTTGCGTCTTGTGGGTTTATGTTTTGTAGTTATGCTTAATCCTTTAATCTTTGCTTGGTTTTTTTTTTCCTTCTTGTTTCGGTTTNTGCTTGATACTTTTTTTTTCATGTCCAGTTTTGCGTCTTGTGGGTTTATGTTTTGTAGTTATGCTTAATCCTTTAATCTTTGCTTGGTTTTTTTTTTCTCTTCTTGTTTCGGTTTACTTCTTTCTTTCTTTCTTTCTTTCTTTCCTTGTTTCGTTCTTTTCTTTTTAAAAAAGGTATATGTAGCATGGGGTGGGTATAGGTATGATGGACTTAGTAGTTTGATAATGAAAAATTAAATTAGTTGAGAATAAAGATTTTGGGGTGGGAATAACCCCACCCTTTAAGTTTAAACAAGAATTTATATTTTATACTCGATAGTTAAATTCAGCTCAATTCGAGTCTTAATCATAATTACATCAAATCAAGAATTAAATTTAAGTTCAACTCAATTAACACTTGTATCTTAAACTTACAAATTAATTCTTATCTATTCTCATTCATTGTGATGCCATAACTTCTTCTTCTTCTTTTTTTTTTTTTAATTTTGTTATTTTTTATTACTTTACAATCAATTTCAATTTGACTCCAACTTGAATACTCGTAAAATTCAAGTAAAGTTAAATTTAAGTAAGAATATATACTTATACTTGACAATTAAATTCAACTCAATTTAAATCCTAATCATAATCACTTCGAATCGATAATCGAGTAAAATAAAATTTGGAGGAGGAATTTTAATCGTTCGATCAATAATTTTAAAACAATCGGAGTCGTGAAAAACTCAAGACAAATAATGCTAGCTCCCTTAATATATAGATATATCACATCACATATATGTTATTCGCCTATTATACAACTTGAATGTTATAGTTTTTTTATTTCAATACAAAATATGACATATATTATAATCATTCGATTCGTTTTGACGCAAAGAATCTATATTTAAAGTTCATTTATTTATTTAAAAATTTTAAAAATAATCTTTAATTAAAATTATAATTAACGACCTAACTAATGTGTAGTATGAGATAGAGAGTTATAAGAGAGATAGAAGTTTTAGAATTGTGGAAGAAACGAAAGTCTTGCTCAAAAAATTGGGGGGAGAGGAAATTTCATATTATGACTGTCGGATCAATATTTTCTCAAGCGATCTGAGCTGCAAAAAATTTAATACAAATAAATCTATCTATTTTATTATATATATGAGAGAAGGGGAGAGAGAGAGAATAGTGACAATCTAGAAAAGATCTAAAAATTCCATTTTTGGAGGCTGAAGTTTTTTTCAAAAAATTGGTCCATATCACAATTGAATGGAAGCTACAATTTCGGCCAAAATTTATGAGATTTTTCTTTTCAAAATTCAAATGTGGTGGTTTTGGGTGGGCAGCACTTTCTGTTTTAGGTGAGGCGTGATCTTCGGTTGTGCATTGCGAGGGAAAGTGGAAGCTGAGGGTTATTTTGGATAATAGATACTAAAATAGACTTATACTCAAATAAAGTTTTTTGGTGGACTTTTTACCCCCATAAATCCTAAAATATAGACCGTTCCCCAAATTTCCCATCAAAATACACCGTCGATCCACGAACCTTCCACCAAAGATTTTTCACAACGCTCTTCAGTGCATGTGCATATTGCCTTTTCACTTTTTTCCATTGCAACGAAAGTGGCAAATAAATAGATATAAAATTATAATTTATTTGGAGTCAAATAATGAACAAGAAACACTATTAATTACGACTCAATAAAATAAAATTAAAATTAAAAAATTTAGGATCAATACTAAAATATCAATATTAATCCCATACAAGACCAAAAAATTATTACTATTATTTTGCAGCAAATTAAATACAGTACCAAAAAAAATAAACCAAAAAATAAGTGTTTGGCACGGTTGTGTTATCGTCTATATAAGAAATGTTAGCTGTTGGAATAATGTTACGGTACCACTGTAGTACTATATTAAAGCATATCTGTTTTGTTGATTTTGTTTTGGAGGATTCGTATCCATTGAGTGCGAAAATATTAAAATAATAAAAAAAAATCACATAAGAAATTTTACACGCATCACATATTTTTTATACTTACATGAAATGTGGAGCTATGATACCCAAAAAGTACCAGACCCACATTTTTTTGGGGGATATGCATTGTTGCTAAAGTTGTTAATGCAATCTTGATTTTTGGACTTGGCCGATGAGTGTTAGCAGTGTTACTCAAGTGTGTCAATGTATCATTGTGGATTGAAGAGTGGGATTGGGACCTTTATGCCGTAATTCCAAAATAACTCCAAGGACAGACTGTCATACAGTCCTTGCCTCTCAAAAAGGCACATGAATGGATTGCTGTGCTTTCAATCTATAACGTCAAAGACACACCAAAAGACTTCAGTTTTGTGTGCCTCTGCTAGTATGTCATTACTTTATGAAAAATTCAATGCAACACTGGCCTTCATGGGATGTTTGATCAATGAAAAATCCCACAAACCCCATGCAATAACACCACATTAATCATAACTTTAACTACATCTTTAACCACAACCCTTTCCTCTCCTTTCTCTGTGCCACTTTATATAGTCCTTCCCTCCCTTCAGTTTTCTTCATCTCTTCCCACATAATCTCTCTTTCTATAGCTTTCCTATGATGGCTCTAAAATGGGCATTCCTCTTGCTTACAATCACCTGCTTCATTGCAAATTCAACTTCAGCCAGGGAGCTGCTGCCTGGGCAGCAAGGCTTCGACCTCAAAGCCAGACCCGAAGCCAATGGCAACCTAGTCGAGTGTCTTAGCGCACTGAAAGAGATCAAATCATGCTCAGATGAGATCGTTATTTTCTTCACTAATGGCACAACTGATATTGGCCCGCCTTGTTGCCAGGCAGTCAAGATGATCACCCACCAGTGCTGGCCTGCTATGCTGACTGCCCTCGGGTTCACGCAAGATGAATGCTACATCCTTCGAGGTTACTGTGATGCAGCCTCTGGGCCTGCTCCAAGTCTGTCACTGCAACTTCCAGCCAAGAAGAATGGGAAGGCTTAGTATATTTGGGCGAATTCTGGGCCTTTTGTTGCCATGATTGGCGTGCCAAATGAGTTTATTTAGTCAGTTTCTTATTGCTATGGTTTGTTTATGCTTGTTCTAGTGCATGCACTGTGTGTCTGTCTTGGAGTAAAATGAGTATTTAGTTCTATGTTCTATGTCAAGGTGTAATGTGTTTGTGCTATAGTCCTTTCATACGGACTACATCATTAGTTTAACTAATTTGGTTCGCTTTATTTGATGCCTATAGCTATCATGGCTATGTCATAAGCGCATAGGTATCATTATATCATATCCTCTGAACATAACTTGACTTCTTGATTGGTTGAAAATTAAATAAAATCCATAACAATCAATATTAACTTAAAAAATGTTATTTTGAAAATGTTGTTACGTTCATATTGTACCATGCACTAAATAATTTATGAGTCCGTTCCTCCAGAAATTTTTTAAAAAAGAGTAAAGTTATGCAACCCCAAAGATACCCAAATACGGGCATTGCGAATGAATTGGCAGGGTATATAATTCAGAACTTGAGCGCATCTAATCGATAAGATTCAAATGAAATGAACACCTTTTGAGATATGTTTCGGACAACATAGGAGAATGCCTAGGGAGTAAATTGATGCTGAATGACTAATTTGCCAAACCTGTTGAGATAACCTGTCAAGGATAGAAAGGAGAATAATTTCTAAAAATAAATTTTGATTGGTGATTGAGTTACAAATTGCAATATTGAAATTATGATAAAAAAAACTATCAGCAATTGGATGTTGTCTACTTGAAAGACCACAAAAAATCATATTCAATATTTCAATGATCAAAATGATGCAATTAAAATATTGGAGATCAAAATGAAACAAACTCTATACTTTAGGGACCATAAGTGTAATAAACCCTTATCATAATACAAACAATAGTATTTCAATTTAATCAATATTTTTTGATAAAAATATAATAAATTTATAATATAATTAGATATGCAAATATTCAATAATGATGATGTTACAATGAAACTTCACTGTTAAAAAATAGAAAATTGTCTAATGGGTCAAAGAGATATTTAAACAAATGACGAATTAGATACTCAAAGAAGAGTAGAATATATCAATAATTAAGTTTAACAATAGTTAAAATAATAATTAATTATTCCACACATAATTTATGATTCAATTTAATTATATATATATATATATATAATTTGAATTTCTTATAAAAAATTATTATTTAAATATATTCACGTGTAATGCGCGTCATGCATTGCTAATAATAGTAAATGTAGCATACCAAAAAAGTTCAATTTATCCAAATATGAGAGGAAGAAGAGCCTTCAAATTCAAGAATTGAAGATCATGGTGGGCTGCTGCATAATTTAGGATTTGGGCAACTGAGAGTAGATAAATGTTTGACAAGTGTGATAATGCACAAAAGTGAATTTATGCAGTATTAAATCAGTCATGTGTGATGTAAAACAATTAATGAAATAGTTAACAATAAGATATGAAGATTGGGTAGTTGAATCTGAATGACCTAATCACTAAAGGCGGCAACCATAACCAAATAACTCTATTAATGTGAGAGTACAAGATAATTGGAGAGATAGACAGAGACAGAGTATGCTTAAAGTGAGATATGTGAGATTTGTCCCCATGTGTAAGGGGTTTACAATTTATAGGTGTAGAGCCCTAGTTGAGGAGGTGAGGTGAAAGTCAAGTTACTAATTTATCACAGAGGATAGTTATTATTAGGGATAGGCATTATCGTGGAATAATGGTTATCCTGATTATTACTTTTCCACGTGCGTCGATTCTTATTTGACTATTGATTTTTGGATTAAACTGAGGTTATAAGTTAAGTCTGACCTGCTTTTTGATATTTAAACTTAACCCACGAACTTGACCCAAATTTGATCTAAATCTAGACTCGTCAAAGTTGAAAACTTTTTGACAATTTGACAATAGTTACAAGGATGCTTCCTTTGTTCTTTCTTTGTATTTGTTATTGTCATTACGAGTGGCAGAGCAACACATGGGGGTCACGAGATCAATGATTTCTTTTTGCACATTGCCAATTGACCCTTAAAATTTTATTGTTATTTTTGAAATTGCATAACTGATTTCTCTAAAATATTGATATTTAGATGTTGACTACTTACATTATATACAACATTTTTTCCTTAATGCGACTTGCCCTCTCCCATATTTCGATTTTCTGACTCCATTCCCGTAGATTATCCAATGACAAAAAAATAATTAATGTTTTGAGTTTCCATGCAAAGTAATATTTATTTTCGAAAAAGTCACCCAAAGTTAGTGGTGGGGCTAACAAATAGCCAGTCGGACTGGGCTGAAATGAGTTGGCTTGAGTCCGTCTAATCAGGGGTCGGAGTTGTCTTATTGGACTAATCTGGCCGAATGATGATATGAATGAATTAAGGGTATTTTGGAAGACAATACACTAAATTAGACATAATTATAAAAAATTAGATAGAAAAAAATGTATTGTAAAGAAGTATACTGCTGAGATACAAAGAGTTAACTGTCCATTTTCTAAAATTTACTTTCCTAAAAATGATTTTAGGAATATATCTTAACATAAATTAGGTATACAGTGATAAGGCTTAGCCGTCGGATTTTAGCAACATTACTTTCCTAAAAATAGTTTAAGAAATATATCTGAAAATTAATTAGGTACACAAAGGTAAGACTTAACTGCTGGATTTTAAGAACATTAATTCGCAAAAAGTTCCATCTTCAAAAAATGGTTACCACTTATTATTCTTATCCAAAAACTATTTCATCTTCCTCGGCAAGAAGCCCTAAATCGTTCCTTGAACATCTACAGGGTTTCGTCTTTGAAAAGAAAATCCTACTGGTCCGCCATTGTGGATGTAAGTTGGTCTGTGTTTCTCGCATAATACAACAAAGACAGTGTAACAATATAGTGTAACACTGTAACACAACCAGTATTCAATGATTTTGTGAATGTGGTAACAAATTCAAAATAGAATTGAGCTATTACAATGAAGTTATATGCAAATATATATTTGACAAAATGTAACAGTACAGTGTTTTGTATACGTAAATTTTTATATTCTTATTGTTACACTGTAAATGCATATATAGGATGAACTTCGGTTATGGTATTCGCATATAAAAAAAATAGTATAATCACTTTTAAAATGACAAACATAAACCTAATGGAGTCATGAACTCAAACCTTGTAATTGCTTAGATTAAATGATAAAAATGAAATAATGTTTCAGACTTGCACTGATAAATTGCTTCTAGGCCGAAGAAGAAGAAGACAACAAATGATACTGTTGTTAAATTTAAAATTCAAACCAACTGATTTATCCTCAAAATAAATAGAAGAATCAAATCTTCCATTAAATTAGAAGATTTTTAATGCATGAATATAATTTGAAAAAAAATAGTTTCCAAAAATAATCGCATGATTTAAGGGAGGACACAAATGTCAAACGAAAATTCAAAAATTTCAAATTATATACTTATACAAAATTAAGATCTAAAATTAAGGATTTTCTTACTTTACATTTTTTTCTGTGTACTGTTTTACAATTAAACTCAATTTAATGTACCCTTTCCAATTTACTGATGAATTAATTCATAAAATTGCAACAGGCTTGAAATGAGATAAAACAGTTTCAAAGATAGGCAGTTAGATGAACATTGAAGCCTGAACTCAATTCCGTATTTGTGGTTTCAACCGTTCAAGCGTGTTCATATACCAAAAAAAAATGAGTGCGGGGTTTGCTTAGTTTGTTGGTTCTAGATGGTCAATATTGTTGATATGACTTGTATACGTTCTGACTTGATCCGAAATGTGTACACCCAAGTGCAGGTGGTCAAGTTGTAGTAATAATCGGGTTAAGTCGGAAGTCGAATCCACATGAAACTATTATTGGTGTTTTGAAGTAAGCAGTGATAGAGACCATGTGATTGTAACCTTTGAAATTTATAGTGATGATGTTTAGAGATTTTCTTGAGCCAAATATATAATTCTTTCCAAGAAGATTTTCTGAACAAAATATAAGATAAATTCAAATGTAAATAGTCACTCTTTAGTTGAAGGATCTGGACATGTAGTTGATCATCTAGTTTATTATATTTTTGCTTGATAACTCAATTAACCCCCATGTCAATAGCAAGTTAATTGGAAGATAAAGGTGGATTGAGAGAATTAAGAATATGGTTCTGATGCCTTTCTAGAAATTTACAAGAATTGTCTGTGCCGAGACTCAACCCGTCTACAAACAAGCAAGTGTTTCTACAAGGCATTCAACTATGGTATTAATATTTCATTCTTTAAATGAAGCACAATAATGATGAAGATTGAAGGATAGTTATGAAGATCTAGCTGAGGTACTTGCCTTAAACTAATGAGTCTTTCTATACAATAGTTATCTGTGCTATAGAAAGTACTCACGATTATACAAAGTACCTTAGTTTTGCTAGATGCAGTCAATCATTCAATAAGCAAGTAAATTATAAAGCATTAAGCGTAATCGAAATGCATAGATATAACTTCCGGTTGATTTATACATGTGCATTACCTATTATTAAAGAATGAATGAGAAACTACTCACTCTTCATGGCTTTGGTAAAGATAGAAAAGTGAATGATGTTCATCCCTCTAAGTAGAGGAGTTACAAGATAAAACACACTACACAAGGAGTTGATCTTCGATGAAAAATGATTGAATCATGTTCCACCCTTCACAGCTTTGGTAAAGCTCTAGAAAAGTGGCAGAGTTTCACTCCTCTAAGGGAAGAAAGAAGTTCAAGCAATGAAAGTGAAAGAAATTAACAAGGAAAGTAGAAGAAAGCTAGTCACTTTTGCAGGGTTTCCACCGCAACCAAAAGTTGATCTATCTCCCTCTATACAAGTAAAATGCAAGCCTAAGTCTAATACTAATTCTACAACTAGCTAAGAAATGTTGGTCTTGTCTAAGCTCTATCCTATAAAGCTCCCACAATGGGAGTATTTATAGGC